CCCTCAGCCCACTCCCATCCACCCCCACCCCCACCCTCAGCCCACTCCCATCCACACCCACCCCCTTGTCTACCATCTCCTGCCAGCTCATCTCACTGACAAGAATCTTCATTTTTCCACTTTACAGTCTCAGGATTAGAATAAAAACAAAACAAAACTTTGCTAATTGAGGGGAGGATGCACTGAGCAAAAGTGGGAATACTCCACGGCTTAGGGAAGGCCATTTCTTGGAACTACAGTCACTTAAATGTTTACAAGAAACAATTATTGAGTGTCCCCAACTGATCCACGCATGTAATTAATGAGAGAATTACTAAGAGTTTCCATTTTCTCCTTTGTTTCAGCTCCACCACATAAACTTTTCTGTTGGCGTTGCTTCAGAAAATTCCACCCAGTGCTGGAAGGAGGTAGAGACCGATCGGGAGGACAGAAACATTGTGAGAGCAAACTCCCAACTCCAACAACCATCCCATGAGACAAACGGAAAATACTTAGAGATGCTGCCTGCCAGCGCCTGGGCATTTGAAACAGGCGGGAGGAGGCGCCTGCCCAACGCTAATGGGTTTGTCCTTAGCTGTTTGTGGGAGAAAGCACGTCACTAAAAATGCCCCCCACCCCCCCACCCCCGCTGTCCTAGAAAGACCGAGGCACAATGAACCCTGGCGTGTCCAATTGTTTCACAGCGGCTGAAGTTTCATGGAAATAAATAAACAAACGACTCTGCTCTGGTCCGCCTGTATCTAGTCAATTTGCATTACTGTAAGGTTGGATGTCACAGGGTAAATGCTCTTTTCCTGTGGGGCACAAGCCCTGCTGCTTTTCCCGCTGGGGTGATGAGTTCCACAGCCTGTGTGGCACTCACCAACTGGAAAAGAGTTGCCTGGGAGGGCCTGTTTGAGGCCTCGAGTTCAGCCCCCAGAGTCCTAATGTGAAGTCCTCTTCCACTTAAGGAGATATGTCATCTCTTCCTTAATTTGAAAAATGTTCTGAATGCAAAGCAACATCACAAGGACTTCTAGGTTGCCTAATATAAATTCTCTGTGTGACACTCTTTAGGCTGCGTCAGCAGACAAGGTCAGCTCAGCTAAACTAACGCGCTGCCAGTGGCCACTTCGGGGGTGGGGGTGGGGCGGGTCCATGAGGGAGAGCCAACATCAGCTCCAAAATCTAAAATGAGAGCATCAAGGACTCGGGGCCGAAAATGGCCTGTGGAATTTAATCTTGTTAAACAAATTTGAACCGGGCATTTGTCCATGATGACCCAATGGAAAGTTCTAGAAAAAAAAGAGAGAGATCTTTAACTGAACGACCTTGCTTATCTTAGCACCAGTACTGGCCAAGAGTGGGGCCTGGGCCTATCCTCTGTTCTGTCTGCTGCTCCCACCTCGAGATGTAAGGTTTTAGTAAATCACCACGGGAGGAATGAACACGACGCTCACACAATGCTTCTTTCTCCACCGACTCTCAGTGTGGTAGGAAAGGGCTTCTGGGAAGCCCTGTATAAGAATGATACATAAGGGCTGGAGAGATGGCTCAGAGGTTAAGAGCACTGGCTGCTGTTCATCCTGAGGTCCTGAGTTCAATTCCCAGCAACCACATGGTGGCTCACAACCATCTGTAATTTGATCTAGTGCCCTCTTCTGGTGTGTAGGCAGAATACTGTATACGTAATAAATAAATAAATAATAAATAAATAAATAAATAAATATTTAAAAAAAAGAATGATACATAAAATAAACTAATTCCCCACCATTCAGGGATGAGGGGCAAACGGATCCCGTGGGGTATTGCTGTGTTAGCCACTAGTTAGCACAATGAATGTGTAAACCAAGTTTCTCCTGGAGAACAACACAAGTGTCCCCTCTTGTGGATTTTACAACGGTGGACTAAAGCAAGAATCCCAAATAATACAGAAACAGAAGCCGTACCCATTGGTCCCACAGGGCCCAGCTGACACCGTCCAACCTCCCCTTTATCCCACAGCCCTATGGCGCATCAGTTTGGCTGTTGTGTATAGCAGGATTTCAAAGGATGAAGTAGGGAATAATGGGAACCCAACCCTATTCAACCACAAGGAGGAAAAACACCTTTCCTAGCATGCATTAACTAAAAAACATGCTTATACAAGAGGGAGAGAACAAATCCATCTTCTACATAAGACAGAGAACCGCTGAGTGACAATAGTTACCCTCACCCAAAAACCCATGACGAAGAATACTGACCCGCCGCTCCGGAGATGAGATGATGGTTCCTTGGACACTTCTTTGGTTTCTCTGAAGCCTTGGTCGTAAGTACGTTGGGGTGGGTGACTCTTTAAATGACCAATGGCATTTGATGCTGTTAAATAAGTCCCATTTATTTTTGCCGCAGAATTCTCCACGGAAACAGTCTCTTTGGAGTCCTCCGTGGTCTTTGCTGCAATGGCAAGGAAGGGAACGTCTCTCAGCACCTTTCTTACTTCAGGGGCTGCTGCCCCTCAGTGCTTTGTTTGTAGTCTACGGACTTATATAAAAGTTACCATGGCTTGTAATCAAGTTTGGAGTTTTTATGGCCAAAACCTCTCTGAGCACAATTAAACTCTCCTACAGTTTTAGGCTCGGCACCATCATTTCTGGGGATAAAAAAATGAATAGGATATTAACTCTATTGGCTTGACGTCTACCTGAAGGGAAACACAGGCACTTAAGGTTTTGAACTACCAATCCCACTAAGTGCTCCTACGCCCCCGAAGAATAATTCTTCCTAAACACAATGTTAGCATTTTTCCACTTAAAAATGATTTATGGCTGAATGTGATGGCAGACACCAGTAATCCCAGCCAATTGGGAGATAAAGGGAAGAAGATAAGGAGTCCAGAGTTAGCCTTTACTGTATAACAAGTTCTAGGTTCCAAGAGATTTAGTGTCAAAAAAACAAAATACAGCCAGAGCTGTTACAGAGAAACCCTACCTTGAACAGCCAAAAGAAACAAAAACAACAAAAAAAAACCCGTTAATATAATTAATAGAGTATCACGTACAAGTGGTGCATCAGTGACAGAGATTTCCTTGTTCATAGGACTTACATGGGTCTTTTAATAAGTAGTATACAAAAACAAAACACACAATGTGTGTTGATAAGGGCAAACAAAGAACAAGCAGAAGAACAGTGGAAAAGGATGAAGGGGATTGGGAGGGAGACTGAAACAATTTTAACGAGGGGTGGAGGATAAGGGTAAGGAAGTCGAGAGGATGATGATGTTTGGAGCTGGGCGGCCAGCCTGCGCAGGGGGTCTGAGGCAGGAGTGTGCCCAGGCTGGTGGAAGAGGAACTGCGGAGAGGCCCTGGAGGAAGAGAGCTGGTCCCAGGTCCCAGGGCAGTAACAATGTGACCCTCTAAGAAGGCTTCCTCAAGAGGGGCAGGCAGGCTCCAAGAACACAGCCCACCTCCAAAACGAATGCACGCTGAGTTTCGGGACACAGGTTCTTACACTGAAAATACAACTTCCCTGTCAGCAAAGGGACATGGGGAATAGCTTGTCATCCACCTGCCGCTGGCCTAGTCTGTGTCCAAAGGGAGGCGCCGATAGACCTCCCTGGTGTAGGTGGGGGTGGGGATGGAGTGAGCTTCACGGAGGAAAATACTTGCAAGTTTTTCCATCCTTATTCAGAAACCAGCAAACAGATGGAAGCCAGTAACAACAAAGCCCCTCCGCCCGCCCTGCTTTCAAACACCGCACTGGGAGGTTGTGAGGAGCCTTAAAGACCGGCTGAAGTGAGAAAATAAGAACTGAAAAGTGATGTCAAGTGATCCAAGGGCACCAGAGAGTGGAGCCTCTGGGTCCCCGCCCACAGCTGCCTGGCTCAGGGCTTTTGTGTCTGGGGGGGCGAGGCCTTTGGTCTCCATTCCATCCCGGTTCAAGGGCGGCCACCTGAGCATCAGCTCTGAGAGGTGTTCGGAGCTCTCGGTTTTCCCACCTTCTCCAGTCACTTCCGTGCCCGGCACACGGTAAGAACTGATTGCTGGGGCCTAGTACAGTGACGTGCATGGTGTTGGCTCCCTCGGAACTCGAGTTCAGTGCTATTACCACTGCAACGCGAGAACCCTTTCTCTGGCCTGGGCCTCTCTGCCACACCGCCTTAAACAACTGTACTTCCAGTTTACAAAGCACACACTGGTTGAGATTAGAAACCTCTCAGCCTCTCCCTCTGGTTTTAGCAGTTTCTTTATTCACTCACTCTTCACATACTTATTAAGAAACACTGCATGTCAGGTGCTGCACAAGACGGTGCAGAAAAAAGTCCAGCCTTCGTTGACCTTCCAGAGGGGAACACAGCAGAACCGTAGACGGGGAGCCGGGCTCCCCTGTCCGCACAACGCTGCACCGAACGTGTTATTATCCCACAGCGGGGAGCTGGCCTGACACCTGCTCTGACTCCAGACGGAGAAGCTGAGCACAGCCAGTCACAGTGGCGCACACACAATAGTAGCCCTCAGGAGGCGGAGGAAGAGGATCGCTCAAAGTTCAAGGCTAGCCTGGCCTCTGTATGGGGTTTGAGGACAGCCGGGACTATAATGCAAGACCCTGTCTCAGAAAACAAACAAGCAGAACTGGAGAGGCGGCTCAGTGGTTAAGAGCGCTGACTGATCTTCTACAGGACTTGGGTTTGATTCCCAGCACCCACATGGGGGCTTACAGTTATCTGTAACTCCAGTTCCAGGGGACCGGACACTCTCTCCTGGGCTCCGGGGATACTGGGCACATATGCAGGCAAAACAGCCATAAAAAATAAAATGTATATTTTAAAAAAGCAAGCAAACAAAGCCCAAATCAGGAAAACAAACAAAACTCCTAAGCACACAGAATGATTCTCGGTGCCCTTGATACACACGTGCGTGCGACACCTGTAGGCCACTGCGGACCATGGGCCACTTCAAGAGGAGACAGAAACCTCCGTTCGGGGTTAGGACAGGGGACAGCTCTGTCTGAGACATGCTGCACACAGGAAAGCACACTGGAGCTGCTTGATCCAGGAGGGGACACAGAGAGGCAGAGGTGTGGATATAAAATATAAATAAATGTTCTAGACAGGCAGCGAGCTGACAGTGAGAAGTGAGGAGCTGGGAATTGATCTGGGAAAGTGTGGAGAGGAGATGTGGTCTCGGCAGCATCTGGAAGGGTCAACAGGAAACAGACAACTTTTTTAAAAAGGAGCTTAAGTCCAGGGTTGAGGCCGGCTTTCCAGCATGCCCATGACCTGTAAGGCAGGTGGGCGCCTTGCTCCATTTGATGTCCTGCCGTTCTCTCCTTGAAAGGGTTGATTGTAAATAAAGTTCTCCAGATTTGTCTTTTGCACTGAGCCCAGCAAATAATACCATGGGTCCTGCTGAAGGCTTGACCCAGCTGCGTGTGTGTGTGGGGGGGGGCGGGGGACGGAGGGTGGAGAGCGCTCCTGGGGGTGCGTGGTTAGGGTTTGAAGGTGTGTGTCTGAACACTTGGTTCTCAGCTGGAAACCGTTTTGGGAGGGTGTGGAACTTTGAGTGGGCGGGGCCTCGCTGAGAGAAGTAGGTTGCTGGTGGACAGGCTCTGAGGTCCATAGCTCCCAGGATGCGTGAGGACAGGCAAGGGCCTGGGACAGATCAGGCCAGAGCCAGGCCACGACAGATGTGCTTGCAAAGGAATTGGGACTCCATCCCCTTGGGCAGAGGCCAGGAAATCTGCTCTGCCTCGTGTTTTATAGTAACTTGCCAAATAAAGATGGTCTTTTATAATTTTGGATGAGTGGGGTGGGCTGGGTATTGGGGGAGCCAAGTGAACAACGATATATTATGACTAATGAAAATCAGTAGCCATAAATCAGCAATGGCTACTTCCACACTATGGTGGCTGAGTTAAATATATTGGACAGAGATGGAATGGACCACCAGGACCTAAAATACTTACTGTCCAGACCTTGACGAAAAAGGTTTTCTGCCTTCTAGAACAGACTAGTATGTGCCCAACTGGGTTCTTGAGAGACTCCACAGCCAGGTCAAGTTGGGGGACGTGGGCCGAAAGAACACTGAGTAGCTTTCTGTCCTGTCTGGAATGGTTTGCTTGCCCTCTAGAAAGCACAATGGCCAGGAATGAGCAGTGCCTTCCTGACTTGCCTGAACTCTGGACCTATTTCCAAGGAACAGCTGTTAACGCTTTGCCAGCAGCATCCTCTGGAATTGTCTGGAACCCAGCGTGATCATCATTCTTGGAGGCACAGAGGTCCTCTGAAGGATTTTGAACAAGGGGTGATGCTATCTGGTGTATTCCCTTCTGCGCCTTTTAGTGCTCTAGGGACGCAGAATGCGAACATTTCTCACGGTCCTCGGGATTGAAGGGGTAGGACGTCTGCTCACAGCACCAGTGACTAGGAGCTTGGGGTCTCCAGACTCTGCTGACGGTTCCCAAGGTCTTGTGTTGAAACCCTGCAACCCCCTGAAGGGCTGAGGAAAAATCTAAAGGGAGCAAGGCAGGGGTGAGGCAAGAGGTGGTAAAGGCTTTGGGAGTGGCAGAAGAGGAAGACACGGACTCCATCCCTCCCCGGGAGCTCCAGAGGGCGTGGTGACGGAAAATGTGACAGGGACTGGGACACGGTAGCGTCTGCCCTGAGGCCTCTGGTTTGGATAACAGGGGGAGGGGAGGGGGTCGGCTATTGGTCACCACTTCCCTATTCAAACCTGCCTTCCACACTAAGTGTACCTTTGAGGATAACCACACAAGACTAGGCCCCTTTCCTAGTCTCAACCCAGGAATTCCAAGTCATCACACCCAAGCCCCACCCACGGGTGTCAGCTACAAATGCCTTCACACCCAGGGAGAGGCACACCCTAGGTCTCCAGGCTCAGATGGCTTTGGGGCCTCAGTGACCCAACAAAGCACCTTTCCTAGACAATAGAGAGAATGGCATCTGCAGAAATGACAGGGATCCCAGGGTGGGGCAGTCCCAGTCATTTTTAAAAATTGATGTGCACTTTTTAAATGACAATGACTTCTTACTGAGAGTAGACACAGAAGCCAGAGATATGGGTCATGGCCAAAGAGACCTCGTAAAGAGCTGGAATGAAGACCCGCCTCAGTGGTGGTGGTTGGGGGGCGGTGGCTTCCGGCCAGGGACTGGGGTGCTGTGGCCTTCAAGCCAGGGCCAGGACCCACAGCAGGGAGGGGAAAGCATTGAGGACAGGGGCAGGGGGAAGGCTTCGCTCCCTGGTCCCCTTCACACCAACAGGGACAAGTGGGCAAGCGGTGAACTCAGGTACAGACAAGTTCATCTGTAGGAGACCTTGCGTCTGGAGTTCCCTCCTGCAGTTACCCATCTCTTCTGCTCGATTGCCCTGACACTGGATCCAAGAAGCAGAATGACGGACCGAGTCCTCGGGAAGACTATACTTTCGGGATCATTTCTATACGTTAGACTCAAGTTCCCCGGGGGATGCTCTTGTGAGATCTGCTGTTCACCTAAAACCAGAAACCACGGTGTCACTGCCTTGATGGTCGTCCTGGCCACTCATGGAAGGCAGAATCAAGCCGGGGCCCCGTCCATGTTCCCAGGACCTGCACGGCCCTCCAACTCCAGCTTCCCCACCTTCCCATGGATGGCCATCTTCTGCTCCTGAGCTCACTCCTGGATCGGGCCTTTCTGCCTGTCTGTCCTTTCAACGTGGACACTTTGACCACAGGTTGTCCATTCAAGGCACCTTAACAAGGCCCCTGAGCTAGAGGACAGGAGAGTCACCTGCCACCCTGTTATGTTCTTTATCCTCTTCACATCCTGTGAGACCCCCTCACTCGTTTGTTCTAACATCGTTTCTTTACCATCCGTAACTGGAGGTTCTCTGAGGACAGGACTTGCTGGTCTAGAATGGTACCCTGCACTCGGAAAGGGGCTCAACAAGAAACAGACTGTATCGGAACAGACACACAAAGCGGGAGAGCAAGCTGCCAGATACCTGATCTACTTGGTTACGGCATCATGGTGTGACGCACGCTCCCACACTTCCTCATACATTTTTCCTCTTCCTCCATAACCATCACCCAATGGGGGAGTATGTGAAGTGAGGTGAGGTACATGTGATCTGATGATCCCACCCCAGGCTGTGTGGACACCACCGAGCTCCGATCATTCTGCTACGGAAGACAGAGTACCACCACATCTGGTTTTTCACAAGACGCCATAAATCTGGCTCCTACTGTGAGATCCTGCTACCATTTAAATGTCGGCAGTCATCTAAAAGAAGAGCTCGCAAGTCAAACGCGATGCTCAGATGGAGGCGTGCAGCCCCATGGATGCTTTGGACCACCCGAGTCACAGTGTTCCAACTCCTCTTCATCCATCCCTCATGAGGAAGGCCCAGGTCAACCAGCTTCTGCTAACAGCTTTCTACACCAGTGAGCACAAACAGGAAGAAACAGCTTGTAGTAGGACTCCAACACACTCAGCAACTGGAGTCTGGACCCAGGGCTCACCCTGCATGCTCCAGACCTGAGAGATCACCCTGCATGCTCCAGATCCTGAGAGCTCACCCTGCATGCTCCAGACCCTGAGCGTTCTCATTACCTGTGTTTTACTTCACTGTTTTCCAATGTTAGTGTTACCCACCAAATTTCTTGCCATCCACCGACCATTCCTTCTGTCCCTACACTTGGGAGCCCTCAGTGTGCCTGGGTAGAGTTTGTCCACCTGTTACACTTCTCATGAGGAGGCATCTCTAGCCCCCACTTGTGGGTCTAGGTACACGGCCAGTACTTGTACAGCAAGGATAAAAGTCCCATTCGACTTCTACTCCCATATTCACAAGGATCGAAATCTTTAAAGGTGGGGTTGGTGTGCATTATGAGACTCACAATTTTCATTCATTTCTTAAAAATATTTTTTATATTTTGGTTTATTTATTGTATGTGTGCATACTCACTCAAGGGGTCAGGACACAGGTCTGGAGGTCAGAGAACAACCATCAGGACTCAGTTCTCTCTTTCCACCACTCGGGTTTCTGGGGTCAGACTCAGGTTGTTAGGTGGGGTAGGAGATGCCCTTACCACTGAGCCACTTCAGTGGCCCAATTATCAGTGATTTCTGATGAAATTATCAACTTTTTAAAAACTCTACTAGGCCAGGTGGTAGTGGCAGCACACGCCTTTAATCCCAGCACTTGGGAGGCAGAGTCAGGCAGATCTCTGTGAGTTCGAGGCCAGTTTCTGGTCTACAAAGTAAGATCCAGGACAGGCTCCAAAGCTACACAGAGAAACCCTGTCTCGAAACCCCACCCCAAAACAACAACAAAAACTCCCACAAAAACAAAACAAAAAGCCCTCTACCCTGAACATTATTTCTTTCTGATATGTGAACCACTCTAATATTCTTTTTTTACAGAGTAATGCTCCCCCACCAGGGGTGACATTTAGATATTCTTTATAAACAATCAGAAAGAAATACATAAACAATTTTCTTAGCTACTGTTGAGCTGATATTAACAAGGTCTAAGTTTATATAAGAACCATCTAAGGGCAGGAAAAACTACATAAAAAATAGCTTGTGTGTGCAAATTCAAGAAGTATGCCTGTCTGGGTCTGCAGGATGTTACAGGGCCTTACAGGGGGCAGCAGCAGGAGATCGGTCAGGCAGAAGAGTTCCCTGGGACGCAGCCCTGTAGAAGCGCGACCGCCCACCACTTATCCTTCTTATCTTCACAGGGTCCAGGGGAGGTTTCGGGAGGGACGGACAGGCATCCTCCTCCGTGGTGGGAGATGCTGGAGCTCTGGGTTTCTGCAAAGAGATTTTTGAAGAATTGGCATGAGTCTCTGTTTCTCAAATAAGGCTTACCACCACCACCCTGGAGCTGGCCCTACCCCAGCAGGTGCCTGGGCTCGACTTCACCGTAGCCTCTGGGTCTACCATCTCATTGGCCCATCATAATTAACATCATATGTACACACACACACACACACACACACACACACACACACACATTCACTTAATACATGTACACACACATACACACACACATATACATGCACATACACATACATTCACACACATATACACACACACAGACATGCACACACACATAAACAGACACACATTCAGACACACACTTTTTGGTTTTATCAGCGCATCCTATGAGCTGTTCTGTCACACAGCTAAGCATATATGATTTATAAAATCCAAGTTATCTGTGCAAGAGACTGTAATGGTAAATATGATGTATTCAGCACACTTTGCAGTGTATTGTGTAAAGAGTCTTTTTCTGCCCTGCCAGTCAGCTCCTAAATAATGACAGGGACTTCTTATCAATTATGAAGGGGCTGCCTATAGCTTAGGCATGTTCCTAACTAGCTCTTATAACTTATTTATATCAATCTACGTTCTATCACATGGCATTATCTCCTGCACCTCCGGTCTCCTCTCCGTGTCTCCTGGCTTCTCCTGTGTGCCTAGATTCCTCTCTCTCCCTGGAAATCCCACCTATAACTCCTGCCTAGCTATTGGCCACTCAGCTTTTTATTACACCAATCACAGCAATACATCTTCACACGGTGTACAAATATCCCACAGTGTTGTGCTCAGTTTAGTTGAGAAAACACTTGTTGGACTGCATGTGGAGATTCAGGTCAAACCTAACACTTAGAAGGTTGCAACGGAGAATTCGAGTCTGGGGCCAGCCTGAGCTACAAAGACCCCTTTCACAAAACAAAACAAAACAAAGAAGAAACACACTTATTGGGTACTGATGTGTTCTTTAAGCCCTGGTACACATCCTGGACTCCACAAAAGCATTTTGTAGGGACACCTAAATTTTAGATTCACTCAGATTAAAGAATGACAAAGCATAAAACTAAGAATTTATATTATACTTATTATATAAAAATGCTTACTTTTAGTCTCAAGAATTCTGATGCAGACACCCTCCAGAAAATAACAGTAACGGCAAAACTCCCATTCCTTTAAGGAGTTTGTGTGTGTGTGTGTGTGTGTGTGTGTGTGTGTGTGTGTGAGAGAGAGAGAGAGAGAG